GTATAAGAGGGTTTTTAAAAACCCTCTTCTGTATAAGAGGGTTTTTAAAAACCCTCTTTTTTAAAACCCGGTTCAGAGTTCAAACACCTCGGTCATGACATTGTGAATAGCAGCTTAGCATTCGAGAGCTCAAAAGATAAGGGACCCCTACAACACAACCTGCCACATGTAGGACATGAACAAGTAGGACCCTAACACCCCTATAGTTCAAATACTTCTAGCATTAAACACGCTCCAAGTGTGACCTGGCGAGCTGCGGAAGCTCTTGAAGATCAAGCCCTACACCAACCCTTAACTCTAAAGCCCGAAACTATAAACCCTAAACCCTAAACCCTAATCCCTAAACCCTAAACCCTAAACCTAAAACTGTTGAAGGTGCTGGAACAGTGGCTCTACTACTCGCGTTTCCACGACACGGGATTCCAGTCGATGGTCTTGGTGTCCCAACTTTTGTAGCTTGGGCAGGGCTTAGGGGTCTAGGGTTTAGGGTTTAGGGCTTAGGGCTTAGGGTTTAGGGTTTAGGGTTTAGGGTTTAGGGCTTAGGGTTTGGGGTTTTGGCGCCAGGGACAAGAAGAGACACAATTTAGTTCCTTCAGTTGGGGGGTGTTGGGGTGTAAGTTTTTTGGGTCTTAAACCCTCAAGTTAGAGCGTTTCGGAACCCTGTCCTCCCGTTTTCCGAAACCAAAGTTCGAAGCCACCGTGAGGACAAACATGGGTTCAGGGTTGAAGGAGTTTAGGGCTTAGAGGTTTAGGGGTTTAGGGATTCAAGGGCTTCGAGAAGCGGGGAACCGAGGTATGGGGTGGTTCACATTCCTTTCGGAGTGCCGCCGCACCTTGCTACCATCTTGCTCATGCAGTTTGACCTCGACCCTTGTCCGAGCTTTGGGATCTCCTAAACCCCCTGGTGGAAGAATGGCCCTAGACACGTAAAAGGCGATGTCCTTCCGTACTTTTGGGGATCAGATAGGGTTTAGAGTCTTGGGTTTTAGGGTTTAGGGTTACGTATAGAGTTTAAGGTTAGCTTTCCGTTTGAAGTACAGGTTTAAGAGGTATCGCGCTTCTAAACGCATTGGTACACCGTGATATCCGCCCGAGCACGCAGCTCTGAAGCTTGTAGCCCTCTCAGCCACTAAACCCGAAAACCCTCGACCCCTAAACCTTAAAACCCTAAACCCTTAAACCCTTAAACCCTTAAACCCTTAAACCCTAAACCCCAAACCCTAAACCCTAAACCCCTAAACCCTAAACCCCAAACCCTTAAGATTTGCGGTGCTTTTGGAGCCTTGAAACGAGCTTAATATTATGGGTTTAGGGTTTAGGAATTACGGTTTAGGGTTTAGAAATTAATACAGGGGCCGAAATAATTACCAATACTATTTTAGGGGCTTCCTTATTATAATTATGGTATAACGGGCCCCACAACCCTACTCTAACAATTAAGGCCCCTTTTTTAATCGAACTCGAGATGGGCTGAAAGCCACAGTGCATGGCGTTTCTTTTTTTTACTTTCAGGGTATAGGGTATCAGGCCCTAAACCCTAAACCCTAAACCCGAATTTTGGCTTTTAATTTCGGGGTTTCAGGGTCTTTAGAGCTCAGGGTCTTTAGGGTTTAGGGTTTAGGGTTTAGGGTTGAAGGGTTTAGTGCGTCTAGGAACGTGGGCTTTTGATTTCAGTGTCAGGGTTTCAGGGTTTTTAGGGTCTAACATAGGGGCCTTAATAATTAGAACAGGGTTTGGGGGGTATATTATACAATAATTATAGTAAAGAACCCCCAAAACCTGATTCTAATCATTCAGGCCCTTGCATTAGTGTTTCTAGGAATTTGATGTAGTCTGAAGTTGGAGGTAGGTTTGCTTCTGCCAAATCCTGAGCCCACTTGGAAACCCTGATCTAAGTCTGTTAGTTACGCAATTTCTTGCATCCCAATCTGATCACGAAGGCCCCAAGCGTACAAACCTTAAACCCTAAACCCCTAAACCCCTAAACCCCAAACCCTAAACCCCTAAACCCCAAACCCCTAAACCCCTAAACCCCTAAACCCCTAAACCCCTAAACGCTAAAGTCAGGCGCGCCTGAGCTCCGCCCGGGAGCAAGTGTCCAGGCACGAGACTTGCACCGAGGACTTGGTTTAAGGCCTATCGCGTTTGGGGTTCAGGGAATAGGGTTTAGGCTTTAGGCTTTTAGGGTGTAGGGTTTAAGCTTTAGGCTTTTAGGGTTTAGGGTTTAGGGTTTAGGGTTTAGGGTTTAGGGTTTTAGGGTTTTAGGGTTTTAGGGTTTAATTAGGCTCTAGGGTTTTAGGGTTTTAGGGTTTAGGCTTTAGGGTTTTTGGGTTTTTGGGTTTTGGGGTTTTAGGGTTTTAGGGCTTTAGGGTATTAGGGTAGGGCTTGTGGTATTAGGGCGCAGAGGACTCAATCCTCGACTTCAAGGAGGTCATCGCTGGTGTGGAGAGGCGAATCTGGAAGTGTTCGGCTTGGGTGTTTAGGCTTTAGTCTAGGGTTTCCGATTAAGGCTATTTGGGTTTAGATGTGTCTTTGGGTGTTTGAGTGCGGGTGGTCTTTGGATTTTTTGGGAGACTTTGGGTTTTAATGTTCAGCCCAGATGGCTTCCTAAACCGTTTTGGGGGGCTTGCGGCCATGAGCTGGTCCCAGCCGACAAGAGAGGCTCTTCCTAATTGTCATGGAGAAGTGTGAATAGTTACCAATAGTATTCCTGAGGGCTCCTTTATTGTGAGTATACTATAAAGGAGCAAAAAGCCCTAGTCTATTAAGGCCCCTACAGTAAGTGGCTCCTGCGTGCAATTGCTGAAATTCATGCAGAAGAAGGGAACTAAGAGTTGCCCTAGAGCAGAGTCCTTGATAATTAGCGCAGGGCGTTGAGGTATGTTCAGGTATGTACTTTAGAAAATAATCTATGAGGGGATACGCTAGCTATTTACACTCCGATAATCAACCTCGGCACTGTTTTGCCCTGCAGAATCCTGACGGTTTAGGGTTTAGGGTTTAAGGATTCAGGGTTCAGGGTTCAGGGTTTAGGGTTTAGGGTTCAGGGTTTAGGGTTCAGGGTTTAGGGTTGTGTCCAACGACATTTGCTGCTAGAGACCATAATCGCTTTCTGCCATTGTGTTCCAGGCGCAGGCTGTTGATGGCCGAGCCTATACTACTATTAGATATTGGATGATTCTGATTTTTAAAAAGTTATGACTACTGTTATTTCTGTTATAAGTGCTAGTAGTATTTTTCAGTATTCTTGTTATGATGATTGTTGTCATGAATAAGAGGGCACGAACCCTAAACCCTAAACCCTTAACCCTAAACCCTTAACCCTAAACCCTCAAACCCTAGACCCTAAACCCTAGACCCTAGACCCTAGGGCTTAGTACCTCGGCTTCGGATTGTTTCCGGGGAGTCGCACCAACACGCTGCCGCCTGAAGCACTGGCTCAGGACGTAATATAGGGCCTTAATAGTTAGAATAGGTTTCCTTTAAAGGGTTCCTTCAAAGGGATACTATAAGGGCTGCTATTATAAGGGTTTAGGGTTTAGGGGCCTTAATAGTTAAACTAGGGTTTTGGGGCCCAGTATACTACTTAGGCCCCTACATGAGGGTTTAGGAATACAGGATTTTTTGGGTAGTATTAGGGAGACCCCTTAAACAGGGCCCCTCTTAACCCTACTTCTGGCTCTCCTAAAAGGGACCTTATTGAGAGGGTCTATATCCCGCTGGGTCCCCTTAATCCTAACTCCTAGGTTTAGGAATTTCGGTATAAGAAATCAGGTGTAGGGTTCAGGGTTTAGGCAGTAGGACTTAGGGTGCAAAATTCAGAGTGCAGCTTGGATTTGGAGTAAGCTGTGTTGCTTGAGGCGCTGGCGCTGCTTTCTGCGATTGCACGTGGCCATCGATTCTCTGATGCCCCTGATGTATGTCATCACAATCATCATCGTGCTGCTACCCAACCAGGATCCCGACCTGCAGCCAGAACACGATGTTGGACAACATGTTCTGTGGGTAGGGTCCTTTTTGTCAGGGTGCCGTACTTTTCGGGGGACCCTAAAAGGGACCCTAAATTTAGAAAACTACCCGTGTGCAGGCACATCCAAAAAGTGAACTTACGCCCCTACACTTCCGAAATCCCTAAACCCTGAACCCGATCAGGAGCTCGAGCGGCCGTTTGCAAAGGTCGTTCTGGTCTGGTCCATTGGGGCACCTTTGGCGCTGGCATACCTATGGCTGCAAGTCCTGTCCCTGGCAAGATTTAACAAGCAAATCTTCGAATGGGCTTTAACCACTCGGGACAACGATGTCTACAGAGCGCTTCATCAAAACCAGGAAAGGATGACCTTCTCCGTCTTCGGTTTCACCATCACCCTGCAAAGAATCCGGGTGACCGTCGTTTCCTTTGTTGTCGGCGTGTTGCTGAAGTTTGTGACGCAGATGGTCATGGACGCAGTGAAAGAAACGGTACTGAGCGTGCGGTGATGTCGGCTTCAACTCTCCTAAATCCTAAACCCTAAATTTTAAACCCTAAACCCTGAATCCTAAACTCTAAACGGTAAATCTTGAACCCTAAACCCTGAATCCTAAACCCTAAACCCTGAAGCCTAAACCCTAAACCCTGAAGCCTAAACCCTTCATGGTTCTGCTTTTCGAGCTCGGAATCTTCAATGGTACCTGTACCACTCTACCCCTTTGGATTGTGGGGTTAGGGTTTAGGCTCGAATTTGGGTTTAGGGTCTAATTTGGGTTTTGGGTTGGGAGAGGCCTTAAAAAATAAAACGGCATCAACAAAAACTACGTGGGTATCCTGAGAGGCTGACAGAGAGCCAGAAAGACTGAAACAGCAGAACGACAGAAAGAAAGAGAGCAGGAACAAAATACAGAAAGAAAGAAAGACAGACAGAAAGAAAGAACGAATGACAGAGAAAGAAAGAACAAATAAAGAAAGAAAGACATAAAGAAAGGAAGACATAAAGAAGGAAGAAAGCAAGACATAAATAAAGAATGCGGAAAGAGAGAAAGAAAGAAAGCAAACAAGAAAGAGGAAAGAGGAAAGCGAGACAGAAAGAAAGAAAGACAGCACGAATGAAGGAAAGACAGAAGAAAAGGGAAAAGGGAAGTGAATAAAGACATTAATCAATAAAAACAAAACAAAACGACAAAGAGAAAGAGAGACATAAATAAAGACAGACATAAGGGAAGGACGTAAGGAAGCACGAAATAGACTTAAAAAAACAAGCGCCAACTAAACACAATAGTGAATGGATGCCATAAAAAAACAAACGCCAGCAAACAACAAAATGACTAAGACAAAACACGCAAGTACAAAAAGAGAAAGTGCAAGAAATAATAGCGACTGGCACAAAGTCCGATGCGCCGCATATCCTAAGATTTTTTTTTTTTTAAGGCGTAGTTTCGTGCTTCATTTTTTGATGTTTTTTTAGTGCTTAAGCTTTTTTGACGTTTGTTTGCTCAAGTTTTTGATGCTTATTTTAGTGCTTAATTTCGTGATGCTTATTTTAAATTTTTTTTGATTCTCCGATCTGGTTTTTGTTGATGCCTATTTAGTTTTTGTTTGATGCCTCACCCTTACGGTTTAATTTGGGTTTAGGGTTTAATTTGGGTTTAGGGTCTAATTCGGGTTTAGGGTGAAATGTTTGAGAGACTGTGGAATATGGGGTTAGGGCTTAGTGTTTAATTTGTGGATTATGGGGTTAGGGCTTAGTGTTTAGTTTGGGTTTAGGGTGAAATGCCAGTTTGAGAGAACAGAACCACTTGGGGCGACAGTAGTAGCAGCAGTGGGCCCCACTGTCTCCAAGCTCATCAATGGGAGCAATAGCGGTTTAGGGTTTAGAGATTAGGGTTTAGGGTTTAGGGTTCATCAGTATCAGCAGCGGTCTCAGAAAAAAAACACCCAGGGACTACCCTTGTTTTTCACTGGGTTCCCTATCAATACTGCATAAGAGGAGAACATGCTGTCTTGGTGACGGGCAGCGTTTGTTCTCGGCACCATGACACTCAACATGGTCACGATCACCATTATCTGCCTAACCATCTGCATCGTCTTCTTCTTCATCTCTTCACCACCAACAGCAGAGTATACCTGTTTGCATGCAGTGTATCTATAGATCTGTCTAACTTCTTGCAGTTTGCTTGCCAAACTACCCAAACAAGAGCATGCAGCGCCGTTGCCCCGCGGACCCTTTAGCAACACGTGTCGCCACTGGTCGAAAACCAAACCTTAAACCCAAGCTCTGAAACCCAAGTGCCTCCAAAACCCTATGCCTAAAGCCCTAAGCCCCTAAACCCCTGAAGCCCTAAACCCCAAACCCTGCATTTTCTAGATCCCTTTGAAGATCCTTTGCCTAAACCCTAAACCCTAAACCCTTGAAGGAACCCTCCTAAGCCCTGAAGAATGATGGACGACTTCGATGCGACCTTCTCGGCTGCGCCAGTCGAACCATGGTCGGGGCCTTATAATTCAGGTGTTCCTTTAAGGCTTCCTTGAATAGGGTTCCTTTAAGGCTTCCTTTAAGGGTTTCTTCAAGGGGTTCCTTTAAGGCTTCCTTTAAGGTTTCCTTTAAGGGTGCAGGGTTTCAAGTTGAGGGGTTTAGGAGTTTATGCAAGACGTTCGTGGAGGGGTGTAGGCTTTAGGGTATAGGGGATTAGGGGTCAAGGGTTTGGGGGGTTTCGGGGTTTAGGCTTGAGGGTTATAGGGTCCTCAACACTGGTTTAATAACAGGGGCCTGCACGAGTTCTATGATAGAGGGACCTTGATACTCCCAAAGGGTCCAAAGTAGGGTTTGTATATTAGGAATCCTTATTATGATTTGGGAAAGTAGCCGCCATAACAGTACCTAGGACCCTTTGGGTCTATGATATAGGGACCTTGATACTGAGAATAAAGTCTTGATTTGAGGGGGCTCTTCTGCAGTAACAGAAGGCACCCCTCGGGAATGGTACTGCTGACGAGGAATGTAGGGTCGGAGAAAGTAGTTCAATGTATTCCTGAGGTTTCCCTATTGCCTTTATGTTATATTATCCCTAAACCCTAAAACCCCCCAAAGCCGTGATCTAGTTACTCAGAAACCCTAAACCCTAAACCCTAAAAACCCCCCAACGCCGTGATCTAGTTACTCAGAAACCCTAAAACCCTAAACCCTAAAACCCCCCAACGCCGTGATCGAGCTATTCAGACCTATCTTCGTCTTGGGGTTTCAGCCTTCAGAAGTAAAGCAGGCTCGGCTTACACCCACTGCTTCCAAAATAGAGCTCCGTGTTTGGGTTTAGGGTTTAGGGCCCAAAATGCAGCTTCGTGTTTGGGTTTAGGGTTTAGGGTTCAAATTTCCAGAAATGAAGCTGTGGTCTCGGAGTTTAGTCTACGGCACCGCACAATGGCTGCGAGTCAAAAAGATTCCGTAGCCTTACCAATGCTATTCGTTTGGGTTCTTAAATCTAGTTTGTTATATGATACCTAGACCCTCAAATCTAGTTCTTTTGGGTTACCTTAGTTTCTTATCATCGGATCCTAACCATAAGGTAGGTCATCCCAGAAAGGTACTGCACTCAATCCTAAGCCCTAAACCCCTAAGCCCCTAAACCCTAAACCATCATAACCTAGGGTTTAGGGCTTAGGGTTTAAGGTTTACATAGGGTTTAGGGTTTAGGGTTTAGGGTTTAGGGTTTAGGGTTTAGGGTAACTGATGGTATGCCCCAAACACGATCCTGAAGCCTGCAACCTGCCCAGTTTAACTATCCGAATCACCAAGACGGAGGACACGGCTCAGAATTCAGGGTTCAGGGTTTAATAGGGTTTAGGGTTTAGGGTTTAGGGTTTAGGGCTGGCCAAGCAGTGGTGTTCCCAGGGGTTCCTCTTCGGGGCAGGGTCTGGGGAACTCGAATCTGTCAGAACTGGGAGTTGAACCTTGCGGTGGAGATCCTTAGCTTCCCAATACGCAACCTTTAAACTTTTTGGGTTCTTATAATTTAGTCAGTAGTACTCTGAAAGTTTAACCTTTTATTTCCGTGGCTTATTGGGGAAGTAAGGATCTTAATTCCTTTCTACTCCAATGTGGTATTTTTGTTACTCCGCTTCTACGCCATAGGGCTGTTGCGGTCACTGCGACTACTACCACCACTGCAACTACAGCTGCGACGGCCATTCGTATCACCATATCATCACCACCACGACAAGTACTCGTAATACTATGTGGACGACTTACTACTACTTACTACTACGACGACGACGACTACTACTACTACTACTGCTACTGCTACTGCTTCTGTTGCTGCTACTACTGCTACTACTACTACGACGACGACGAAGACGACGACGACGACGACGACTGCCACAACGACGTCTACTACGACTGCGGCGATGACGACAAAGACGAGCACCTGTCTTGAACGGATGATATACATATACCTTCACTAGCTGAGGCCGGCGTGCAGTATGACTGTGACACTTATGTGCATATGCACATTCTGAGTTAAATTCACAGGATTGCGGTGATACATCTTTGAGATATAAGGTCCGCTGCATGCAGGAGTTTGTAGGAGCTGCATTCTGCATGTATGGTAGCTATAGACTTGCTTCAATGTCGGCTTCATGGTTAGGTCGGTTTCGGGGCTGCGGTTTAATACTAGCGCTACATGCTTGCTTGGTTTTGCTGCACCGCATCCGCGATCTAGTCATGCTCGGAGTTTGTCGCTTTCCGACTTGTAAGCAAACTGGCCCCAGTCGCAACACTTTCGGCTGCAAAAGCCTGGAACCCTATACCCTGAACAACTTTTTCAACCCAGACTTCTAAAGACCCTGAAACCCTGAACCCTAAACCCTGAACTGTTTGTTTAGGGTTTAGAGTTCTTATAAGCCCTAGAACATCAGCTTCAGAAGCCTCTGTAAGAAGTCCTGCATTTCTGGGGGGGGGTCAGGAGCAGATGTCACTCATGATGCAGGTGCAGATCCGCTCCTTTTTTGCGAAGCTTTGCCGTAGCAGGTACCCATAGGCCCTATAGTAGTTCCTTTTTGGGATTACCTTATAGGATTGAAAATATGAACCCCCAAAAAGGAACTACTATGGGTCGGTCCTATGGGTACAGCGACCCTCATCGAGCCTGGAAGCAGTAAACTTAACCCCGAAGTGCTGCAAGGTGAGCCGAATGTGGAGCGAGAGCGTAGTCCAGGTTCCCACTTAATTCTATGCCTTAAGCGTGTATGCGTTTCAGATGCTAAGCTTGATGCTCAGCTACTCCCACTGTCAGCCTCAAGCACTGATCAGCTTAGAGTGCAGGGTTTACTTACGGTCTATAAATTCGAGACCCCAAACCTAAACCCTAGCCTGGTGCAATGGCGCAGTCAATCCTGAACAAATCAGAGCTGCGGCAGCTTGTCTTCTGGTCATGGGCAAAGCTTGGCCAGCTTCGTTAGATCCCAACATCTGAGAAACCTGGAGATCGCGGAATCCCTTCTTCTGTACCAATGGTTCCCGTCCGTACTAGAGAGAAGCTTGAAGTAAATACCAGGTGACAGCACTTCTCTTGTTGATCTTACGGTCTTGTAGAGGAGACCCTAAACCCTCAGCCGCTCTTGTTGAGGATCCCTGAAAAGGTAGAAGGAGAGCTGTAGTCAGCTCGACCAGAAAAGACAGGGTTTAGGGTTTAGGGTTTGTCG